TATATATATATAGAGAGAGAGAGAGAGAGAGAGAGAGAGAGAGAGAGAGCGAACAATCGATACTACGTCTATTCGCGATAGGCAAGAGCGAGTAGTAGCGATGAGAAACCAGAGTAGAAAGCAAACCTTGTCAGCGAACCTTGGCCTACAAATCCTGAGTTTCCCTCTGCAGCGTGAACGTAGCTCGTTCGTGTTCGATATTCGCCCGATTGAATCGACATAGAGCGTTTGGAAAGTTCGTGGAAAGGGGTGTAAAACGCAACACGAACGAGTTAAGGAGAAGGCAGTCGTTCGAGCGTAGAATGGCGCTTAATTCTCGGCGCTTTCCTATCGCGACCTCGATCGATCGCCGATCGACATCTCGCTACCTCTCGTTACCTGCGTCGTTTCTTGGAAAACGAACGCGACAATTCGAGAATTCGTATCTCGATGGAGTTCACTCGCCGGCTTAGCTTTCGGACCGACTCCCGGTGTTGTATCAACGCATGCAGTCGAAACTTGTCCGTCCAGCCTTCTTTCTCCAACTTGCACACGGCGTTGCAAAACGAACGAGAGAGAGAGAACAACAAGAGGGAGGGGAACGGGAGTTTCCCCGTCGTGAGACGGAAACGAACGCGTTTGTCATTCGTAGACTCGGCCGATCGGAAACGAGATAAAGGTTGTCGCGATTCGAGCTGCGAAATTCCATGTGAATTCGAGCCGGTTTATGGATTATCCCGCTCCCTATCCGGGATGAAACGGGCGAATTCCCGAACGCCGATCCGCTGAAACTCGAATACAGGCGTTCTAGTTCCCACCCGCGTTGCCGGATATCCCGTCGGAGCGAAACAGCCGAAAAAGAAGAGAGAAAAAGGGGCAAGAAAGGAAGAAGGAAACGAGGAAGGGGGCGGTACGTACGAGTTTCGCGAAGGTTCGAAAAATTGCCGGCAATTCCCCGAGGCCGAGGCGTTGAACGCAATTAGTCGAGCGATCTTGCACGATGGTACACACAGCTTTTTCGAGCGAGGGCACGGTGCACGTGCTTCTCCTGGCCGTGTGCACGTGTATCGCGTGTGTACGTGTGACGAATGAAGAAGCCGGCGGATGAGAAAGTTTCCCTCCGAAGTAGAAAATCCAACGGGTGGTTCGCGTGTCGATCGACGGTCTTAGAGGGACTTAGTCACCGGTCCCCGGATATCCTTTCATCCGAAACTAGCTTTGCATTTGTTCGCCGCTCGTGTCCCGGAAGCTGAGAGCGTCTATTGATTCTAGACTCGCCGTTCAGAAGCAAGAAACCGTACGGGATTATGGAAACGCTGTGTTTGAAATTTCTTTCAACAACCGGAATCTCGCAAGTTGTAATCAGAGAAAGAGTATCTCTTACTCGGCCTCATAGCAAAGTGTGAATATATCGATCGTTTCGCTACGAATTTCAACCGACAGCGTTGTGTATCCCCACGTTTGCTGCCGCTGCGATTCTCCGTTAACCTTTTAACCGAGTGCACTTTCATTTGAACGACGCGAGAATTTATCGATCCGGTTGTATGTTGCCGCGCGGAAATAACAGATATATCGAGTACTTTATCATCCATTATTTTCTTTTTAACCGCTCGAATACTCGGTTAAAGGGTCGAGGACGTCGCTTCTCGACGAGGATCGATATCGGCAGATACATCTCGACGAGGAGAGGGTGAAACACCTTACGACGCTTGTCTCGCCCTGTCGAATTCACGCGAGATTTACAAAAGCGACATAAAGAGAATGCGAGTGAGAGGAGGAGAAAAAAAGAAAGAGAACGAAGGAAGATTCGTTTCCCCGCGCGCCCCGTTCTCGCGTGGCGCGACAGGGAAATTTTCACAAACGGAAACGAAAAAAAAGAAAAGGAAGAAAACAAAAAAAAGATATCATCAGGTACGTCTTAGAGTGAGTGTATTATATCTTAGGCGTAAATTTAACGATAATAATTAACAAGTAACGTTTAATCGTAAATTCGTTAATTAATAGGCTCTGGTATTATGGTCGACCGTCAATGGTCACGCGCGCAACGGCTTGTTTCGTATCCACCTCTCGCGTTTCGTATAAACGGGCAACGCTGTTTGTCGAGGGATAAAGCCTGTCGTGTCGTTTCGAGTAATTAAAACGAACGTGGCAAAAGTGTTCGGAGCTAGGGGAAAGAGAACGATCTGACCACACTCGTTTCAATTTCATCGGCTCGTTTCTACGAAATTGGGAACAGGGTTTCGACATTGACACGTCG